AGCATTTTCGATTTACACAAATGGACGAAATATCTTAAAAACAGAGAAACGAAGTAATCAGATACACTGCCTTCATGGTACTAGAGTGCTCAGTATGTTCTGGATCATCCTTGGTCATTCATATTATTACATTATCAGCAGTCTAACAGTTGGTGCGTTTGGTTTTGAAATTTATGAACTAACTATTTCGTAAAGATATAAAGCCTACGGAAATTGCAAGCAGTATTTAATTGGGAATAATGATAAAATTTTCATTTATGCCATAATTTATTTCAGATAATTTGTTACCCGCAATGATTGCATTTCCACAAAAAATTTTTAACCTTATTATTGTACAAGCACCACTTGCTGTTGATTCATTTTTTTATCTCAGGTTATTTATTTTTGGCAACCAAAGTATGGAATTTCTAAAAATTTCAGATATTTTTCTTTTGTGGTACTTGATTTAGCTTCGGAAATTTCATAGCGTTTTGAATTTCCATTAAGTATACTTAAATTGTGCTTGTGAACCTTTGGTTATGTCTCAATTTTCAGCGGTATGTTAACTTCATATTTGTTTATGCGAAAGTTTGAAGCGGAAGCTGCAAAAGGTCGTTCTATATATTCATTAGATATGTGGTCGCTTTTCTACATTCATCGATATATCAGGTTTTTATTTCTCTGTCCAGGATACTACGATTCTACTTATTACTTCTTAATTCTTAACAGATTAGGAGATTCATATATCATGTTCATTATGATGTTTTTTTGCTTGCCAATTAAAGGCTTACTCCCATATACTTAATGATTATGGTTCTGGATGTCACTTTATTTACACATTTCTCTGATGGACCATTTTGGCGACCTATTGAAGCGAACTATTGTCGCAAAAGTTGGTGGACTAACTTAATTTATATGAATAATTTTTTATTGCAAGATGTTGAAGTTGTAAGTTTTTCATGGTCTTTACATTTTTTAACATGTCTTTTGTAAGTTCCACTGGATGTCACTTTATTTACACTATATTTATTTAGAGATTAAAATATATTCATATTCAAGGCATTCCTTATTTATATAGAGTTGAATTTTCATGTATTTATTTCTTCTTATTGATATTCTATATATCAGTTATATTATTTTAAACATAATCTCTTCTTTAAGTCTTGTGCAAAACTGATAAAAGATTAAAGCTATAATATTTGAAGTGCATGGGGTGGACGTGGTATATGGCCAATGACATGCAGTTTCATATCTTTTCACCAGTACTTCTTATACTTCTCTATAGGTTAGTTATTATATTCTTTTGTCAAATAAAATTCAGTTATAGCATTCAAGTCTTTTGATTAATATAAAAGCCTCCAAGCAAAAATAAAATTTGAAGTTAGATTTGTAGAAATCAGCTTGTTGGCATCATTATTGCGTTGTCATTGATTACTGTGTCATCTCTGGCACATTTATTCATCATTCTTGCAAATAACTATCCACCTGCACCCATACTGACCGCCAAACTGCAACTGTACGTTTCCACTTTTTTCTTCTCTGAATTATACTGCATTTTTTATGAGCGTCCAAATTTTCACTCTTTGATAACTTTCTGAAGTTGGATTTGTAGTCATTTCAAGTCAAATATAAAGCTTATATAACAAATTACGAAATGAAAAATAGAAATGCTGATCTAGGTTTAGTGAATCAACTCTATGGCCTACTTTCTACAAATGGTAATAAGATAATTGCAGAGTGCAGGATCTAAGCACGTACTGGCCGGATGTCTATGTGAAACCGTATATACGTTGCAATCCATATATAATTGGTATATTGGTTGGTTACGCAGTATATAAATGTACACTTCGGCCCACATTTCCTAAGGTATTTTTAAATTTAAAAGAAAAAAACTTCTTTGTCAGGAAGTAATTTCACTTTTTTCGAATTTTTAATCTCTCATTTTTTCCCAGTGGAAAGTAGTAGCAGGCTGGATGCTGTCTACAGTTTTGGGACTTCTAGCCGTGTTTGGCTTATATAATTATGCTCGAACAGGCGATATATCAGACCCGGCACGCATTATTTATGCCTTATTTGGACGTAATGCCTATGCCTTAAGTTTAGCGTGGGTTACTTTTGCATGCGCTACTGGGTATGGAGGTTAGCTGTTTAACATTTTTCTGCATTTCCATTTCCGACTTTTGAATGTTTAAACTCAACAACATTTTTGTTTTATAAAAACATATGCTTTAATTTTATTTTTTGCTACAGGTAGTGTTAATCTTGAGAGAAATCATCAACGAGCAATTTAATTTCAGGTGCGGTAAATAATATATTAGGTTGGCGAGCTTGGATACCATTAAGTCGTATAACATTTTGTGCCTACCTCATTCATCCTATTTTACTACAAATTTACTATTTGAGTCGACCACATGCTTTTCATTTTACTACCGTTTATCAAATGGCATGTTCTTCAATAACTTTTGTTTTTTTCTATTCTCTTAAAAATAGAAATACTACATCACTGATATTTTAAAACAAAAATATTTTATATGATAAATGATGTGGCGAAATTTTATTTGTCCTAATCATAATATAGAAGATCGAAACGACTGAACAATATCATAGTACCACGATTTTTCTCATAATTTTTAAGTTACTTGTGGAAGCTCGGTTGTGCTTTCTAGCTTAGCTTAGATTAGATTACTACTCTTATTATCGAATATCTATCCTAAACCCGTATTTTTACGCTTTTTTTCAGCTTTATCAGTTTGCTATAGCTGTTGCAATGGCATATTTTACGGGTTTGTTCCTAAGTTTAGCATTCGAAGTGCCTGTATCCAACTTGGAAACTCTGTTGATTGACAAAATTATGGAAAAAATAAAGGCACATCGACGTCGCAAACCACCGCGGGTAAAAGTACAGTTTGGAGTGGTGAATAATGACGATGTAGACGACATGGTGTTAAAGGAAGCGATAATAGAATCATGTACTGCTGACGCAGTTTTAAATAAAAAACAACCAACTCGTTCATAAAACTCCAAAGCTTCGAATAAAATGGATTTGATATTTCCCTCTGTTTACTATTGTTAAAACTATTTTGATTTCACTTTGTATGTAATATCAAAGTTTAAATTTCAGTCATCTTTGTATATCACTTAAACTTAACAATAAAAATTAGCTTCAGAAGAAACGAGGCATTCTTTAAAAAAATCCAGAATTTGTGATTGTTAGTGTATATTGTTGGTGACAAAATGAACACTTAAACAGGGAACGAGTGAAGAGACTTAAGAAATTTATGAATATAAAAAACGTCATACATACTAAGTCTAAAGCTATGAGCAGAAATAGTTCATAAATTTAAAAATTTCTAAGTTATTCATTTGGAATGTTTTTGTGTGGCCACTCATTTATTTACCTAATTCTTTGACATATACTTTTAGATCTCGTCAGTTATGTAGTCATACGAAGAAAAATAATTAATGGTCTGAATTTTCTTCACATGAAGTTTTCTGTTAAGTTTAAATCCTGTTTTATTCTAAGTGAGGAATATTTGCCTTGAAATTTCATCCTAGTACATTAGGATGAAATTTTATTCGAGTTTCAAAATTACTTGACTTTTTTTTTAAGCATAAAAATCTGATTTGGAATGCTACCTTAAAGCTCGCTTCATGTTCTTCGAAAATTTACGAATCAGTTTTCTTGAATAAGAGCATTTCCATCTAAAGATATGTGAAACTTCTTGGTAGAAGCATTCGGTTGTAGTATTTTTGATTACTGAGTTTTACAGTTTGCCTATTTAAATATTATTATAAAGTTTAAATTTTATAACGTATATATTTAAAAAATGAGGCATGGGATTGGGATGATCAGTAATAAATAAAATGGAATAGAAGCGAGACAGTTATCTCTATCCGCTCTAATAATAGTTCAATCCATTAAAATTGTCTCTCATATTTTAATTGCTCTTTTTTTGCTGCTTTTATTGATATGATGTGCGTTTGGATTGGAACAACAGTTTTGTTCAAAATTATTACAGTACTTGAAGCATCACAAGAATGCATCATTCTCTTTGCAAAAACTAATTAATTGATAGGCTTTCTAGATGATAGTTTATCATTATATGCTTTTTAAGAGTTTGCTGTTCCATTGTGATACGAGCTTTAAGTTGTTATTAGTGCTGATGAAACTGAAATATTTGGAGTTCTAATTTATGTATATTTGATTATTTATTCGTTTCATCTAATTTGAACATTTGGTATGTCAGGATGGAGAAATATTTTAGATCTCAAAAATATTTGTACAGTATTAAACTCTTCTGAAACAGTTTGGTTAGGCTACATTAAATTCACTTATGTTAATAAATTCAGTGGATTCTTACAAGTGTTTTTGCATTTTCCTTAGTTGTTGAAATTTTTGCTTCACTATGGAGAGAATTAAATTTTTTTGTTCATAACTGATGACTAAAATCTTGTTTACTGCTTTCATTTTTACCTTCTTTAATTTATTAGCAAAATACATATCAGTTTCAACTATTCAACTCATTTATTTATTTCAAATTGTTAAACGACTTGATAGCACAATACATGTTCATTATAATGCGTAGGCATTAAGAAAAATTATCTGATGAGTTTTTTGGAAAGATCTCTAATAATTACTAAACGTTTTTTGTGATGTTGTAATTTTCTAAGTTTACTTTTACCCTGTTGTGAAGAAAATCATCTGTAATTTTCATTTATTCTTATCAGATCGAATATTTATTTAAAAAAATGGCAAAAACGTATTACACTCTTTTTTTGATATTGAGATTTTTAATTCAGATTTCATGCGCTTATTATCTTACATTGAACAATGCATTTTTTGCAAATTGATTTGTTTCACTTTCAATTTACTAAATATAAAGTTTCTTTTTTTTTTACAAAATATGAAAATAGAACAATTGAACAATGAAAATAAGCGAAATGATCGAGTATAATCAGTTTTCATATGAACAAAGATTTTGTAAATAATGTTAAATCTGATTTTAAGACAAAACGAAAAGATGATTTCTCAAATACATCCATCATTGGAAGAAGCATCAATAGATGTAACTAAAGGTGAATTTACTTGCTATACAATTTAATAATTTAATCCTTATGAAATATAGATCAAATTGAACTTTTAAGGTCATCATATCTGGATGAATCGCCTCACTGGATGTCCTGAAAGCAAAGACTGCTGATCTTAACTCTTGCTGAATAGCTGATGAAAAATAAGAATGTAAATATGAATAAGGTTTTAGTAACTCAAAGATTGTGGATCAAATTTCCGAACTGACACGATTTTCAATTATAATTTCATAAAATCTGATTGCTATTGAATGTGGTAAAATTGTTAATAGGATTAGCCATCCGAGTAAAGAGCATTTTAAGCAATAAAAAAAATAGAAGAAGGAAATTGAAGCAATGTTCAAAGATACTTATGAATCTTTTCGCAGTTATAGGAAGTATTCCTTAGTATCAACCGTGAATTTGAAAGTTATGAATAGTGAAATTAATTTTTCATTGATGAAAAGCAATTTTGTAGATTTGGATGAGAAAGATGAACGCAGTGGACAAATAAAGTTCGCTAATTCTGATACGACGCCGACGTCAAAGGAGAGAAATCTGAGGGAAACGAGAAAAGTACATACCTTTTTATTCTTTTCAATACAAAACATTCAAGGTGGCAATGAAAGCTATAATGTATGGTACTTCTTGGCATACAAAAGTATCCTCAATTTTTTTTGAAGATACTTTCATTCTTTTGGAAAAATACAAAATATTTGGGGGGGATGAGGAGAGGAAGGGGGAAAGTCCTCAATATAATAATATCTAAACATTCCTTAAACAATAAGTCAAAGTTTCATTGTTTCAGGCTAATCTAGGAGTAATGCTTGGTGTGTATTTACCAACGATCCAGCATATTCTTGGTGTGACAATGTTCATACGACTGGCATGGGTAGTTGGAATAGCTGGCATAGTGGACACTATGATTTTGTTACTACTTTGTTGCTTATGTGTAAGCATATTTCTAGAGCTGGAAAAGAATGAAAGAATATTTGGACTGCTGATGATATTTCATTAATTTATTAATTTATCAAACACATTGAATTGCAGACTTTGTTGACAAGCATTTCGCTATCAGCGGTAGCAACAAATGGTATTGTTGAAAGTGGGGGAGTTTATTTTATGATTTCAAGAAATTTGGGAGCCGAATTTGGCAGTGCTGTGGGTATTTTGTTTTATTTAGCGAATACGGTGGCATCATCGATGTATTTAATTGGAGGGATTGAAGTGATGCTGGTAAAGTTCTCATATGAAATTAAATATGGAATTAGCCCTTTTTTTTTCCCATTTAGTCCATTTCAGATAAAGTACTACAGCAATTGGTGAAAATAGTTTTTATTTTCCTCACTGAACTATGAGTTGGAACTTATAATAATGAGAAATTAGAAAGGTTCTTTTTCATTTTTCGAGTAACAGATCATATATGGAGTTTCTTTTTTCTTTATTGTGAATGACCCAACTTTTAAATTTCTTTCAGCTCTACATTTTTCCATCTTTAACTATTGGCGGTAGCGATGTACACTCTGATACTGGTTTGATTTTTTTTTTTTTTTAAGATATTAAATACTGAGTAAAAAGAGTATGATATACAAGAACAGTTTGAATCATTTACAGTTTTTTCAAGTTTAAAACACAATATTAAGATATGTGGGGGATGATGTCACATAATTATCGTATTTATGGTTCAATACTTCTTTTATTGGAAGTAATAATCGTGGCTATGGGTGTACGATTTGTACAACTCATTGCACCGGTTTGTTTTTTAAAATGAATTGTGTTATTAGAACTCTTTGAATATTGCCATCAAAAATTTTTGAAATATGCAAGCTGATCGATTTAACCATGTTTTTCTATCAATAGCGATTAATCCTCTCTGTGAGGTTCAAAAATTCCCTGTTGCAATTTGCAGGTGTCTCTATTAGTCGTAATTATTTCTATACTTGCATGCTTTGCTGGCGGTCTGGAAAAAGCGATTAATCATAGCGGTCAACAGTATGTTTTCATCAAATTTCATCAACAACAATCAGTGTGTTATATGTTCCAGTCTTTCTACTAGATGAAGTTGTGTCCAATTCAAAAATCACTAAATTACAGTGTATGTATGCTGAACCAACAACTTCTTCAATCACGAATATTTTTTCCGCATGGCGCCGATCTGTCAACACTTTGCAAGCGATGCGTTAAATCCGAAGAGTACATCTTACGTGTCTTTACCTTTCATTCGCCATCATTGTGATAAGTGTTATTAGCTTGTGATCATTGTGATTACTTCTTTCATTTGTAATTTGTTTAATTTAATTTAAAATTTAAATTTCAGTATATCGGATGATTTTTGCAACAGTACAACAGCATCCTTTTGCACACATTTCACTGCATCAACGTTAGCATGTACCAACGCATTCCCTGGCATCAATATGCAAACTTTTTATGGTAGCTACGAATTTCACTTAAAATTTAAACGAATGCAACTATTTGTATTTCGTAAAGTGCTATAGTTCTTGCTTTCATATGAATTTTAATATAATCTGTAGATAACATGAAACGAATGTATATGGACGCGGGTGAATCTTATCCTGATATAGCGGCTGATGATGCCGGTTTGGAAGTTTCTCAAGACTTTCGGACAAGCTTTTTTATCTTACTTGCTATCTACTTTCCAGCTGTTACTGGGATTATGACGGGGACAAATATGAGTGGTTAGTTTTCCTGAGCTTCGATTTCTAAAGTAGCAGCCAGCAACTGAAAATGAAACGTTACCCTGTCACTAATGTGTGAAATCATAGATTGGAATGATCTGTTTACTTATTCCCTCGAAACACTTCAAATATTCATTTCATCTGCAACACGGAATGAATTAAGTCATGACTATTCCGCAGAAAGAAAAATACAAATTTAATACAAAAATTTTCACATTTAAATTATGATTCTGATAATTTGCTGTGACTCATACGTAGAAAAGTTGATGTGAATAAAATGAGTGATTGAATTAGAATGAGAGAAATTTTAGGTGACTTGAAAGATCCTCAGAAATCGATTCCATGTGGAACGATTGCCGCAACATTAACAACATCCGCAATTTATTATGCATTGGCATTGCTATTCGGTGCTTCAATTACCGGACCGGTTCTACGTGATAAGTTATTATTTTTGTATTTATTTGATCAACTATGCCAATCCATATCCCTTTTAATGGATGGTGCTAATAATAATTATAACATAACAGTGATAATTGTAATAATATTATAATTATTATAAAAAATTATAATATAACAACAGCAATTGATAATAATAATAATAATAATAATAATAATAATAATAATAATGATAATGATAATAACGATTAATCAATTAATTAATCAATTAATTAACAATTATTTAATGAAAGTGCAGACCAACAACAGTCGGTCTGGTCATTAAAAAAAATTGTATTTCGGATATAACTGTAAACTGAGGAAATAAAATTAACACTCAACCATAAATCGTAGGTATGGAAGAAGCTTGGACAGTTCCATGATTGCTGCACTGCTATCTTGGCCTTCACCATGGATTGTTATCACTGGCTCTTTCTTATCTACATTTGGTGCCGCCTTACAGTGTTTGTGCAGTATGTTTTAAAATTAACTTGGTTCAACAGATATAATAACAGAACGGATTGAAAGTATAATCCTTAAAGTATATCGTTAAGTTAAAGTAAGCATTGAAGTGCTGATCTATTTATGAAAGACATTTATCAAAATAGAAATCTTTCGAGTATTTAACATATTTCTTCATTGGTCACATGACGACATAATTATACATTAATTAAAAGGAATCCATGATGACATCGTTTAGTCCATTCCTTTCAATTTATTCTTTTACTGTCGTCGTAAAAAAACAGTAATATCTAGAGATGAATTATAGTGATAGCAAAAAAAGGGAATTGGGGAATTAGATAGTAATGACTTGACTTCATCAGAGTAATATTGATCTTTAAAGATCAAAACATGTCAGTGTCAATTAAATTCAGTGGATTTAAACACAATTATTTTCTCTTTTTCACATTGTCTTAAAAGCATTTGTTATTTTAATTTACTGCTTGATCTTCAGTCGAACCCATAGTATGAGATAAGGTTTCACAAGTTCTTAATATTGTTCTAGGTGCACCACGATTATTACAGTCAATTGCTAAAGACGATGTTATACCAGTATTAGCACCTTTTTCCAAAGTTACAGGAACTAATGAACCATTTCTGAGATAAGTTGCTAATTAGTTATTTCGGAGTTTTTACTTCTTTTAGATTATCTTAAAAGCATTTGTTAATTTGACTACGAAAAATGAAATATGAAATGATGCTTACATATTTCAGTTACTGCACCTAAGTATCGACAGTTTTTTAACTAATTAAATCATAGAGGACTGAATATTGTTGCATTTTTCAATACATTTTAAGACTTGTACTTTTACTAGTTCCTCCTAATTTATTCTTAATTTTAGCTTACTGGTAACAGCATTAATAGCCGAATTTGCTATACTTCTTGGCGCTGTGGATAAAATAGCTGAAGTACTGGATTTTTTCTTCTTGATGTGTTACGCATTTGTGAATTTAATCTGTGCGTTGCATTCATTGTTAAAAGTACCGAATTGGAGACCGCGGTTCCGTTATTATCATTGGTATTATTCTTTACCCCATCTAATCAAATGATGCACTTAATATAATTTCTAAAAGACAGTAATAAATAAAGAAATTATTGTATTTCATGTTTTTGCATAGAATCTCTCCCTCTGTCGTGAAATTTTATTGACTGCCAGATAATTTACTTTCTTTATAAATGCGATATAATATGCAATCGAATAATTGAAACAGCAAAGGAATACAGATTACTGTTGGGTAAGAGGAAGGGAAGACTGCTGGCGAACCTTTCCTTTTTTTTAACTGATCAGAGAAGATTTTTAAGGATATAGGAAGTGGGCTGGCTTAACAGATTAACATTTACAATGAAGACAGATGTACATTTACCATTTGAGGTTTAGGTAAAGAATTCATAGTTTCAAAAAATGGGATAAAACAAAGGAATATCGAATTGGTTTATAGCAATAAATCATTGCATTAGTATTATTCTAAACAGTTAGTGTGTAATAATTATTTTTTTTGGTTTTCTGACACCCTTTGATAATTTGTCTCATCGTACTAGTTCAGAATGTTTAACAACTGCTTATGTTACCATATTTTTAGGTCCTTATCATTAACCGGTGCAGCTCTGTGTTTCTTCATAATGTTCGCATCACATTGGCAGTATGCAGTATTTTCAATCATTTTGACTTTTGTTATCTACAAGTATGTGGAATGGAAAGGGTAAAAATAATTTATTTTCACAGAAGTGAGTAACTGATGGTAAATAGCAATAAATAAATATCAACAGATGCAGTAATTAAAGCACTGGTTTGTTTTTTCTTTTAAAAATTTTTTTGCAGGGCTAAGAAAGAATGGGGTGATGGAATACGAGGTTTGGCTCTGTCAACAGCACAGTACAGTTTGCTGAAGGTTGAGGACAAGGATCCACATCCGAAAAACTGGCGGTAGGAAGAGAAAGTATTTAAACTCATCTGAAAAAGTGTTCATTTAATCACTTTTCAGGCCACAATTGCTTGTTTTGGTGTATGATTCTTTCTGGTCCAATAGTGTCATGGACAAATGGAATGTTAATTTAATTAATTTGGCTGGACAGTTAAAAGCAGGACGCGGACTGGCTATTGTGGTGGCCCTTATAAAAGGTTCTAGCTGGAACTGTGGTGATCGACAAAAAGCTGAAGAGGTGAAATGAATAATCCTAATCTTGAACAATTAATCAGTACGAAATACTTGAAAAAGACATTTTTAAGATGAAAGAGAGGATCCAACACGAGATGCTGCGCGTTCATTTGCGTGGTTTTGGCAAAACGTTACTTTTTGACGAAAATCAGGTAAATTGATATAATTCCTAAAACTGGAAAAAAGTGTTAACCTAAATTTTATTTGCGGAATTTAATTAAGATATTGCAATTTAAATTCACTTTCATTTAAGATATTGCAATATCAGTGAGTGAACATTTTTCTTGAACCTTTGAGATCCAAAAAATCAAGCAAAGTATGAAAAGAAAAATTTAAACTTTGTTTCAGAGTCTAGTTACTTGAAAATAGATCTAGAAAGTAGCGTGTGATACGCAGCTTTTCAGATGCATGGATGCTTTGCGACGTTATTTCAAAGTATCGGTATTGGTGGTCTGAAGCCGAACACTGTCTTAATGAATTGGCCTAAAATAGAAGAGGAAAACGCAGTCTTTGCTGGTATTAGTGTTTGTAAGGAAAGAATTCCGAGTTTTATTTTTGTATTTATTGATTTGATGTGTTAAACAAGCGAAAGAAAAGAGTGGTTTGTAGCTTGCATTCTCATTAAAACAAACAAAAAGCATTAACCATACATATTTTATGGAAAATCTCAACTTTTTCTTTAATTTAGTAGAATTGGTCGAAGCTGTAGCGAATGATGAATGCATTATGCTAGCCAAAGGTATAACAGAATTCCCATCATCATCTAGCGATCGCCTAACTGGTTATATTGATATATGGTGGATTTTACTTGATGGTGATCTCCTTATGCTGACTGCATTCCTTCTCAAACAACATAAAGTCAGAATTACCTTTGAATATCACTTATGATAATATCTGAACATTGGTTCTGAACAAGAGCTAAAACTTGCTAATGGTTCTTTGATTGTATAATTATTATAGCATCACTTTTCAGATATGGCGGGGCTGTAAATTGAGAATTTTTGCAATCGCTGAAATACCGGGAAAAAATGTTGAATTAAAAGCAATGCTGCAAAAATACATTTACATGTTGCGTATCGATGCAACAGTTTTTGTAGGTTTCCCTTATTTTATCAGCTTCCCATATTTCATTGATTATAACTAAACAAATTTCAAAAATTTGTAGTTCAACCACTTAATAGTTTGGAGTTTTGACCTCTAAAGGTCTTAAAATTTTGAAAAAATATTTTTAAACCTTAAAAATTTTAATACTCGGTTATGTGCTTTGCGGCAAATCATAAGTACATGATTTATACATGACTTTACGAAATATTTAGATAGTAGACGACAATGTGGATCACGGAAATGAACCTGAAACTTCGAGTGGACTGATTCATAGTGCTGATGCACTCATGGTTAAATTAATACCTAAAAGAAGCTACTTTAAAATAATCTTTCACTTTTTTTTTAAAAGAACACATCCAATTGCTTTCCTAGTTGACCCACTGCCGCAAAATGACATTTATTTTCTTAACTCGCAATAACAGTTCCAAAAACATTGTTGAGTATAAAATATGCCAATCCTATCAGCAAATGATTTTAAATATGACAAAGGGAGGGAAATCTAGAAAGGATAGTTTATTTTTCAATTAAAAATTTTCAGCAACAATTTCTTCAGCATAAAAATGTCGACTTGATAATTAAAAAATTTGCTACAATTAAACGGCAAACATTTTTTCACAAATCCTAGTTGTTTTCAGATTACCACCAAGGAAAAAAAAAATGACCACAAAAGCAAAAAAATAATTAGAGGTTCGCTTTCCGTTATTAAAATACATTTTACAAGATTGTTTATCATCAGTTGTTAGCCATCCTCGAATTTTAACTTAATTCTTCGTTCACTGTTATTTGTACAACATTACCTTATTGTTTGCTTACTCAATTTATTTCATTCCCTAATCTTACACCTCTCTGTTTACCTTTATTGCCGTCTTTTTTTTTTTGCATTTTGAAGCGTTAAAACTTTTGCTTCACAACTTTCCCAGCGAAAAGCTTATTTTGAAATATATTGCTACTAAGTAAACCAAATGAAATTTAGGTGCTGCTAGTGAAAATAATGAAATGCAAGCAGAAACAACTTTTATTCCGTAAGTCATTACTTAATATATTTTTAAATTTTCTAAATTCCAGATTTCAGTTTCAATTTTTTTCTTAAAGTTATAGAGGAAAATAGCTTTAAAAGTTGATGAGTAGTAACTTCAGGAATGGTTTATCTTCATTTTCAAAAGACTACTTATCGGTTTACAATCAAAGAGAAATCGAATTTCATAACGATGAAAATTGGAAGGTGGTTAAGAAATTATTAAGAAATTCTTCAATAATTGATACATAAAAATAAGTCTTTTTCACAAGCGGGTAGTCAGCTGAAAATTTCAAGCAAAATAACAATAATATAAACTATTGAATAACAATCAGCTGAATACTAAAATTGAATGCATGTTTGTTAAGTAATTGTCACTCATTTATTTGTCATCTTTTATTGTCCGTAATATTTCATCTGACTCATTTATTCATAATATAGAAAACTATTCGAAACAACTAATGACAAAGCTGTTATCCAATCAGCCATTTAAATATGGTTCTCGGTAATTTTTTAGGGTACTTTGGAAACAATAAAACGTTTCAACGAGGTTATCGTGGGAAATTCGAAAGATTCACAGTTGGTCCTTCTTAGTCTTCCTCGTCCACCAGTAAATAAAGAAAAAATATTGTCGCACTATATGCGTTACATCAGTACACTCACTCTGAATCTTCAACGAGTTTTATTCATCGGTGGAAGTGGTAAAGAAGTTGTCACAATCAATTCTTGATGTGACAAAGTGATGGTGGAATAATTTTATTTCTTCCAGTTTCCAAGCTTTATTCCATCATTTTTTTTTTTTTTTTTGGAAGTATTCTATCCTAGTTTTTCTTGATCCTTACTGGTGTTCAACATTATATAAGATTAATACCATCGTATCAGTGAATAGCATAGAAACGTTTGTTTTTACAGTTTGCTCGACTAGATGCTAAAAAAAAATTAAGTTCGAGCAGATGCCAAATTGCAACAGCAATAATTTCATAAAATTAATGTCTCCTTAGCATCTATTATATTAATGTATTTTCAAAACTGTTGAAGCACTAATTAATTTAATTTTAGAAATCGTTATGTGACACTGTACCATATTTTTCTCAAAGTTTACTCTATCATATTCATATTATATTGCTAAAAGGATCTTCTTCGTGATTATGAAATGAAATGCTTAAAATAGAAATAAAATAAAAGTTCGACACATTTGGAAATGACTTCAATTTCCACATATATATCCAGGAAATGTTTTTTCAAGAAGTCATTGTCAAATATATATATATATGTCTTGCGACCAACTTTACAAGTGTTATGTATGCTTTTAGAAGGCTAAAAAATTTAATAAAATTTTTTCTCTAATAGTTTTTTTTTAATTGCTTATTACTCTAAGAAATTGAGCTGATAAGTGTGGCTTAGATGACCATCGATTTTAACGCATTGGTCAATTTTCATGGAAATACTTTGTACTTTCTCAAATTATTTGTTGAATTATTTGTTAGCCAGGAAGAATTTTTTTTAAATCTTTTTAATGGAAATGAATGAAAATGTGACTGTTTTCAATTTTGAAATTGTTGAAAAGACCTTTTTATCAGAAGGAAAAGTAGAAAATTTATAGATATACAAGGCGGAACGAGTTTTTCGAATTTGTAAACTGAAATTGTTTTGAAGATTCGTGATCGATAATTCTAAAACAACCTGCAAACTTTCATTGCGCTAGAAGTGTGCTATGAAGGTATGTGTGCGCTGTTTCACAAGTGCAAGGAATTTGTTTCATGCCATGCATGATGTCATGATTCATGGAGTTCTTACATTGAACAAAAAAACTTTATTCTACTTTCTTTTTATGGATAGAACCATCAACAGTAGTTGTCGTAACAATTTGCAAACGATTGAAAACATTGACTCACTGCTCTGCAATCTTATCAAATCACTTGTGGTGTAAGCAATGTATAAATGAAATTAAGCATCGTTGTAGGTAATAAAATGAGATGGATTAGAAAATAAGAATTTATTTTTTAATTTTCTTTTTTAAAGCGGAATATTAGAATACAACGGCTGTATCCTTTCATCATGTCGTTCTATTCTTTCCTCATTGTTTCTTTTCAATCATAAACATATCGTTTGGTAATGTCGTTTGCCGATGTACTCCAAAAAATGTATACAAAGTTTGCGCATTCTGAAAAAAGAGCTGTCTTCCTGTCGCCAAAGCAGTGTCCCTATCTCAAACTACCATCAGAAAGAGGGAAGATCGAACAGAATTGGACTGACTCTAACAAGCAAATAATCTTGGAGAAAATTTCAATTAACCTCTATATATTTTTGTTGTAATGCTTCTCTGCTGCGTCCAACAGTTTCTACTTGTAACATTTGCATTGTTCTGATACTATCTATATAGCACTGCAATTAAGAAATCTTATGTTTTAAATAATTTTATTTCAACCTTAATAAAGAGCTGTAGCAGACTATAATAAGTAATAATAATTGAAACTGTAGCAGACTATAATAAATAATAATAATTGAAAGTATAGCATCAGGTGCTAAATTAGTGGATATGAGAATTGTATTGCTCACCAGAATTTCATGGCTAACTAATTAGTTGATTAATCACCTAAACAATCAGGTCATTAATTGAGTGAGCGTTTCTCTGACCTGATACATTCGTTTACGTTTTTTCGCTTTAATAACTGTACTAGTTTGTAGCCAAGAAAATCGAAAAACATTTCCAGTAAAAAGTACAGTGCATATAATGATAAATAGTATGATGAGGACAGTATTGAATAATGATAGTCCATAAACCATCTAGAAAACTTTTCACATCTAATGTTTTTTTTTCGGGTCAGCAAAATAAAAGCAGGAAGATAATTAACAGTTAAATATAGAAATCATTATATCAATGAAATTTCAATGTCCTTAGCGTTGTTTGACGAGATTCAGATCAACTAAATATATTTAAAAAAAGACAACTATAGTGAAGCGCAATTCTTTGCAATGATTTGAAATAGAATTAAAATGAGGAAGTAACAATGAATTCTTCTTTCATTTTGGAATGACGCACTCAGAATTTATGCTTTTTAAAGGAATTTTTTAAATTCTGAATATGTTATCCTAAAGAAAATAGGCACGCTAAGAATAAATTATTTTCATGCAGTCGTTCAATTTTGCTCATATATAAAAAGTAAGAAAATGATTCAAAAATACCAAACTGCATTTTTAGTAAAACGTTCAATTACTAAATTACATAATAACAGAATTGAACCATTGAAAATGTAATAATATGTATCACATAATTATATATAAGGAAACATACTACTGATTTCATAGATATCAAAATCTTCCATTCATGTTGTAATATCAAATCACTGTCTGTTGTATTTTTTAGAATTGATTGTGGGAAATTTTTGTTTATAATCTCAAATTTAGAAATATCGGATGGACTTTTCGAAGATTTTTATTAAAATTTAGTCATAAAAAATATGTGAGTATCTAAAGCCCACTTTTGAGTATTATTTATTAAAGATCACACGACAATCTTGCAAACGATCTAGTGGTTTCATAGCAATTTAAAGATTTCCATTCAAAGTTCTAGCAAAAACATTAAATAGTTTTATTTACACTGAAAAAGGTTTAAGATATACGGCGAGAAAATCCTGAAGCTGTTTTTTATCACTGAATGGTGATTTGATATCACTTATGTTGAAAAACATCAGCATATTTGATGGTAAAACAATATGAATCTGAAAATGGATGTAATCAAATGAAGAAATATAAGAAATATGTGAAGAATTTTTTTTGGCACGAACCACGTCCCATACGATTAGGAGGAAATGTAATTGGTAAATTCAAGTTCTGATCAGTTCCGCCAAAGATTTTGTAATTCATTCCAAAGTTAAACAAGAAGCATAAACTCACCGCTTCACTTTTAAAATCACTGAATGTCAGACTGTGGACAGTAAGAAATGAGACAACCATGTTGTATACAAGAATAAATTTTATTTCACACATATTTCTCCTAATGAAACTTGAAAACCTGTAAAGATTACCTCTCAACATAAAATAAGAAGAGACATAATCGTGCATACTGTCACTCTAAATACTACGCTACAATGCTTTACTGGTTTAAACTTTGTCATTCGCATGAATCAGATAGATTTTGCATCCGGTGGGGGAGTAGCAGTTGTTCGGAGAGGCAGGAAATAGGTTTTACATCCGGATTAGTCTGTATTCCAGGTTGACCTAAATTTCATGTCGATGAGAGTCTGATTTTATAGTGATAATATGCTTCTGATTTAATAAAAAACCCTTTCAAGTGTTTCCTATTTTCCTCTGTATATCATCAGGGTTCTCTCATATTAGATATATTGGTGAATATTTCGTTTCTAGAAATCTGTGATTCGGAAAACTGCGATTTTTCTGCGTTTATGAGTTATCTTCATTCTTTTCAGGTGCTGCCTGGTCATTGTTTTCCAGGATGGAATGGTTTGGTTCCTTTCAGTTTGATTTTGATTAAATTTCATTAAGTCTTCAGGTTTGATGAAGTGTGTGTGAGGTCGCTTAGTTCATGTTGCCGTTATCACTGTTATCAATTCTTCTATTTTTCATCTCTTTCCTTCACGTTCATGTAAGCTTCGAAATTTCATTGTGAAAGAAAATGTTAAGAAATGTTTCGAAAGATTGCTATCTGATATCAAGGTAGATTGTGACTGAGGTTCTAATTTTTATAGGAATATATATCAGTAGTCACATTAAAGCTATTTAATCTATTTTCAAGAATAGAGTTTTGTAAGGGAATCAAATTTATCATTCAGGAAGCGGAAATGAATGCGCTATTGTTGTAACCGTATAGGAATTAAATCAGTTTCTATGGTAATATTTATAAGATATAAACTGATTTGTAATGGTTTCAGGGAAATTTCGAAGATGCTCGGTGTCGTTGTGTTTGTCCATCCACCAAATATTTTGCATCGGAAAATAGTACAGTGAGTGAGGAGAGAAGATATTATACAAAATCGAATATTAATGCTCTCACATGGTATAGCATTTCGAGCTTGATGCCATTAGGAATTTTTAGATTATAATTTGTTAGTGCTGCAGCGTATATGATAGTTTTCTTAAAATTTCTTGAATCTCATGAAATGCTGTTTGTTAAAGCTCGCTAGTAGTGGTAACTAATGCCGGAAGAAATTGACAATGAATGGGAAAAAGAAATTCATCTTATTTTATTTATTGAATTTCGACAGTTGATGTGTTTAGCATAAATTGATTTGGAGGATTTAATTTAATTTTGTAGCAAACCACAAACAGTGGTGAAACCAAACGTTTTGGATATAGTGGATGCTGCACATTTGGATGCATTTTTAGCGAACTGTGACTGCAAGCATGAATCGAGAAATACAGTTTTGTTGAAAGTATGTTCAATTTTCCACTTTCCATAAGGTGACTTCTTTCATATGTCCATATTTGCTAATTTAAATCAGGAGTTTGGATTTTTAAATCCAACTATACGGTTCTTGCTCATAATATTGAGTTCTTTTAGGTTGTTGTAATATTTGTTATTTGCGTAGTCTTCGTTCTGGTTACATATATGCTTTTCTTGATGTGTTTGGATCCCATGCTACGCAAACAGCGGCATTCAGTACCATATAGACAGCAAAACGATGAAGTACATTTTTTTTCAAGGATTTTTTTCAAAGGAGGTTCAAAGATTTAGAGGAGTGTCTGAAATGACTCGTCAAATTTGTTGCAAATTTCCGGATTTCTGTTGGTCTTTTCTTCGTGGAGAATTAACTTTTTAGAAGCAACATTACAGATGGAAGACAATATTTTTGCCCGTACAGTACCAGCGAATGAGCGGTTTTCAGATGTTTCACCTTCAGTTACAATGCGATCTCGGAATAGTAAGCTTCTTACAGTTTGTAATGTGCGTAGCATCAATAACTGCATGCTTCATTGTCTCGTATGTATGGGATCTACAAGTGCATAAGAATAGTTTTAAAATAAAGAATTGTTCATTCAGGGATTTCTTTTTTAGTTAATTTTCTATTTTTAGAATTTATTATAAACAGTTTTTTCCTTCTTTAGAGAATAATCATTGAATTTAGTTGCAGACAATGTTTTGGGAAGAGTTGAAGCCGAACAAAATCGCTGGATGCGAAAAGTTGAAGAACAACGACGGAATATTTTCACGGATCATACAATGCTTAATTAGTTCCCTCTTTCGTAAATTCGTAAATTTATGCTTTATCAAATTAAACTAGGGTTGAATTTCTCTCCTGTAATTATAAAATTTTTCTCAGTCTAGATTACCAAAAGTTACAAGGAAGTTGGAATTTTGGGAGTTCATTGTCATCATTTAGAAACGATTTTAGAGTAAATTCTGTTGATAAATCTAATATTCTCAGATATAAGTTTCTTAGCTATTTTTTTATGATTAATCTTTTCAGACATTTTGGAATATATTGATTATTTTATTTGTGATTATCATGTATTGTTTGAAAAATGTACAACTTTTGAGTTTGACTGATACGTTTTTTGCTCATGTTTTACTTTCTTCTCTTCCATTTATTTTTTCTGCAGTCATTTTGCAGTAAGTGTAAAATTATTTCCATAATGATTATATGATTGTGCTGTCAACATTTTATAAATAAAATGAAGTTTAGGATCTTTAAAATGAGTTTATTGGCTTCGATATAACCACAATTTCCTATACAGTTGTGTTTTTAGTGATTATTTCGTTAGAGGCTTTTCGGTGCTATATACATCAGTGACTGAACCGCTTCTTCTCTGCTACTTGAGTCGACTGGTTTTGTTTAATTTGAAAGTGGAGATTTTATTTTCTATATTTTATATTGTAAGTTCGTTTCTATATCTTCACCAAATCACCTCTTGGCTCGTTTGCATATAATTGTATTTAAAAGATGATAAAAAATAATGACGTGGATCAGTCCTGATGTGTTATATGTGTGTGTCAAGTTGTCTGTGCTTTTTGTATGCAGCATTACCATTCAACAGTTATTTCTAGAACAAGGAAAAAGTAAAAGAAGCAAATATGACTACTAGGCTCCCTTTATTTGATTGTGTTTATTGTCTCAGAAGTAATTGATTGGGTAGTGTTTATCTCATAAGTTGCATGGCTTTAGAAATTTTGTTTGAATCATGTGCGCATGGAAAATGCAAAGCTTATTTACAGATTTGGTGATTTCACTTCCGTCTTTTTTAATTGACACTGCTCGGCTTATATGTAAATGCCTTTCAGGAATTTCAAGATTAAAAAGCTTTCAAATAAATTTTTAGGATTTTTAAATAAACAGTCATAAATAAGGAGATGTAAAGTGATGCGCTACTGCAAGATGTTGCAGAAGTTCTTATTAATTGAAGAAATCAAACATACTGATTTAAATGAATCGCTATTACATGAATGATAAAGAGTTAGCTGTAGCTAATGAGGTAGGATACCAATAGCACTAAAGAGATTTAAACAATTAGAAAGATAGCAATTAGCTCAATAAGTATTCAAAAGATAGCGTTTTACCGGTTGCTCGATCTTTTCTTAATACTTTTAATAAATATCACTGACAGAATGCATAGTCTGTTATATTTTCTCAATACACGCACGAGGTTTGTCTCATCTTTGTGACTGAAGTATAATTAAATTTCGATTCCTTCATTTTGATGAAGAAACAGAATCGACGGTATGTATACATCAACAAAAGGTTGTTAAAAAGCAAACAATGAAGGAGCAAAAAATTAGAAAAGATCAAATCGATTCTCAATGGTGCATGTACATATATACAAACATTACTGCAAAATAAAACTCGAAGCAACCTAGACCACTGGAGTATATGTAGAAACGAGTTAATGATATTTCTAGCGTTTTATTTCCTACTGCTCCAACTTTTTTTATTTCAATAGTCTCAAATTTTACAATAATTAAATTCAAGCTGATTATTTTTGGTGATTTTACATAACCCGTACTGCACAAAATTTTTATGAAAATAGCTACAAGAAATACATTATCTAAAATATAACTACAAATTGATTACTTACACACTGTTTTTTAATCTCAGTTCCTTAAAATAGAGATGATTTTAAAAATGACTTTGAAAATGCATTTCAAAATGTTTTTTTTAATATTTGTAACAAAATTTTTTATTTTAAAAAATAACAAAAATTGATTTTGATGCACCTATTTTTTCTCGAAATATATATATCCCTTTTTTCATCGGAATCTAACAAAAAAGGAAGAATGCAACTTTAAGTGGTAAGACTTGGATTTGCGGTTTGCGCTTTTATCAAAGCCTAACAAAGAGATAGTGACAGGGAGATTGCGGCAATATAGTAAACTTGAATAAGGAAGGTGAAAGTAATAAATCATCTTCTCACAAACACCGAAATTTAGCACATCTTTAATTATTATGTTATGCAGCACCTTGAAATGATATACTACTATGAAGGCTCTTCACTTACCTTCGCTATATCTCATTGATCATCAAACTGAATCATTCTTCTGGAGGCAAAACAGATCAAATCTCTGATTTAAAGAACCAATCGCAAGATTGTATTCTACGAACATACCGGTCGGATGCTGTTGTATTGGTTTTTTTACTTTCGATGAGCAACTTTTGGCAGTATGCTTCAAAATAGAGCAGATAATTAATCGCCACAAGAATTAAAAACAAAGACAGTGAATTTTAGGATAAGAGAGAAAACTTTAAGACTCGATAAATATTGACTCAAGCAATTTATACCATACAACTTATTAGGATTGCAAAAATGTTTATTTCTATGCTTTAATAGAAGTAATGGAAAAATTGCGTCCTGGCGTTAAATGGCTTATATCAACCTTTCATCAGCATTCGTTACTTATCAGCTTTTTCAAAGGAACAAGTGAGTGTCAATGTTACTACAGAAGTAGGAGAAAAACAACAGGATTAAATTTAGGATGAGTTGGAAAAAGCAATTTCTTGATTGTC